CAGGGCATGGAGGAGCTGGTGGACGCTGGCCTGGCGAAGGCCATCGGAGTGTCCAACTTCAACCACGATCAGATCGAGAGGTTGCTGAACAAGCCTGGCTTAAAGTACAAACCCGCCAACAACCAGGTAGGAGTCCTGTTCTGGGGTCTGGGGTTCTCCATTCTGGCGGCGCGCAGCGTAAATTATAATAAAACTGCAAATTCAATTCCTGTCGCGTAGTAGAAATATTGCGTCAACGGGTGATCGTTTAAAATGATTTGTAATCCCTTTGAAAAGTAGAAACGTTGCGGTGGCCGTGCAGCGATCGACTTGCTTTGTACAGAATCCCAACACCCGTGACGTAAGATGACACAGGACCTCCCACAAGCACTCTGAGAGCCCTGCGGTGTCCCATTTGTGCAAAGACAGCATGTTTCATACCTGTTTTATTTGAAACGCAATATTACGTTCAGCACTTCGATGCTTTACCTCGAGATGTCTAAGGAGGGGAAAAAAAGAAAGTCACCGAAAACTAAAGAGGGGGGCGGAAAATGTAAACGCTTGATTCAGAGCTCGACGTTTTCGTTACCATGGCAGCCCCAGGCCTTTTTAGGTTAAGGTCACCTTCGGCTCCGCGCACGTCTCGCCTGCCTAGAGAGCACGGCCGCTTCCCGAAAATAGGGTCTTGAGAGCCCCTCGGAGGCGTGTGTTCCCTGAGGTACCCGTGGCTCGTTCAGTCTAAGAAGCCCTGGTGTCGCTATCCCACGATGCTCGGCGAACCCCTGTGTTCCCTGCCAGCCTGGAGTAATGAGCTAATAATGGCATTGGAACAGACCGCACTGTTTTATTTTCAGCCAGGCACCAGGCAGTTCATTCCCCTCCCCCCACAACCAGCTACCAACAGTTTTCCGAAAGTAGGAACGTTCATTTCCTCTTGTCTGCTCCCGGCACTGTTAAATCTGACGTGCTCGTTCCGGTTGTCCCAGGGGAGCAGTTTGTCATCGGCTCCTCTGTTTCTTCATTTCTGAAATGTGTTGCGCTTCCCATGTGCTATACTGATGTCTTAGCTCCTGGCGCTCGATGCTAATTAATCTGGGGTGGGGAGGGCTTGGGAATTGGGGTGCCCTGCAGTTTCCCAGCAGCCTCGTCGCCCGTTTGCACACCTGCTGTCCGGGAGATAGTTCTCTTGCAGTCGCGCGTTTTTTCCCGTCAGTGCCTAACGAGCAGCGTCTACCGTCTGTGGGCCCGGAAACGTAGTTTTCTCCCCCTTTGTGATGGAGAGAACCTGTTTTAATTAAAGTGTGGCGCACAGAATCTCCCTCCCTGACCCCAGATGCCCACCAGTGCGCGCGAGAGCCAGTTCCTTAACCCTCCAATGTGCGTCCCTCGTGCGAAGAGAACGTTTTTGGCCCGTGGGTTCCTCGTGTTTCACCGACTTGCGATTCAGCGGGGCGGTGGCTCTGTGGCTCGGGACCTGCGCCTGTGGCCGGGAGGTTGCCGGTTCAAATCCCGCGGCCCAGCAGAGGAATCCTACTCCGTTGGGGCCCCCCTGAGCGAGGCCCTTCACCCCAGCTGCTCCAGGGGCACCGTATAAATGGCCCACCCTGCGCTCTGACCCCCAGCTTCTCTCTCCCTGTCTGTGTGTCTCACGGAGAGCAAGCTGGGGTCTGTGAACAAGACAAATTCCTCATGCAAGACACTGTATATAGCCAATAAAGTGATCTGATCTGATCTTATCTCTCTTTATCGGGTAAGATTTTTTCCTGGAGCTGCAGTTCCCTGTATTCAAGGACATTCCCTGTGTTGCAGATCGAGTGCCACCCCTACCTGACCCAGGAAAAGCTGATCGGCTACTGCCACTCCAAAGGCATCACTGTGACGGCGTACAGCCCCCTGGGCTCGCCTGACAGATCCTGGTGAGGACAGCGCCCCTGCGTGTGTTTGTTGGGACGTGTGTTTGTTGTCGCTCCAGTTCTTCAAACCCCAGCAGTGCAATCCCAGCTTTATTATCGCCTGGGGGGTGGAGGAAACTTTATTTGATGACGCAGTCTCATCCAACATTGGAACGAGGAAGACAAACATTACCAACAGAGAAGACGGCGAAGGAACAAGTCATAGGTTTATTCCACACTGAAAAGAGAAGAACATACAACGTTTCGGCCGTGGAGCCTTCTTCAGGTGTGAGGGAGACAGGGCAGTCAGCGAAGGTAATGTAGCGGGAGAACAAAAGCTGGGAGAGAGGAGGAGCAGGAGGCAGGAGCAGGGCTGGCCAATCGGGTAGTGTGAAGTCAGGATGGGTGAAGAGAGGTGTGAAAGGAAACCGACAATGAATGGAGGGAATTTAGAAGAAAAGAAGTCTGTCGTTAATAATAATAATTGCTTACACTTATATAGCGCTTTTCTGGACACTCCACTCAAAGCGCTTTACAGGTAATGGGGATCCCCTCCAC